TCTTATTCACTGTGCCACAGATTGCTACTGACTCCCCCTCCCCCCCTTTCCCCTCCTCTCAAACACCGTGAAGTAAATGTGCTCACATTTTAAACGTTAGGGCTCCTTCCCTGGGTGTTTTTGAAGTGTAATATATTTTTTACTATCTCCTAGGGTGCCCTGCAGCTAAAATGAAAGAGAGCCCAGAAGTGTAGTTATTTAGCCCCTCCAAAGTGACTTATAAGTGCTTTTTTTATTTAAAAAAAGAACTTTTATGCAGAATGTGCTCATTGGGGAGGGGGCGTGTTCTGCGGGTTTATTTTCAGACGGGGGGGAAAAATGCCAATTATCCCTGATAGGTTGAATATGTTTCCTTGAGTTTTATCATCTGTGGAGTAGTGTAATTTGGTTGTCAAGTAGAAAAGTTTGCCATTCAGCTAGAGTCCCATAAAACCCGTAATGTGAAATTTTGATGGGGATGAATAAACCTAACACATCGCCAGGGCCCTTCCCCTGGTGGTACGTTGCTCTCCCTCTAAAACAGGGTTGATGTCTAAAGATCTTCTGCCCTGGGCTTCCTCTTCAGGTCGTTTTCTGCTCAGAAGTTTATATACAAGGGACAGACCAGAATCTCTAGAGCCAAACAAGTCACTCTTTTATTAAGAGAAAATGAAATTTTTATTTCTCCTAGTCAGAGGAAATCAAACAGCCCCATGGAAGGGATTCAGGCAGGTGTAATAAGGGGATTTGGTTATTAAAATGGTCCTGTAGCTCAAGACAAATAGCTGATGCTTCCTCAATGGCTTATGATTGTGGTTGTTGGCTATTTCAGACAAGGAGGATTGGTTCCACATCTCCGCTACCTGGAAGTCAGAATGTAGTGTTTCTTTTTCTTTTTCTGGTTCTCTTTGTTTGATCTCTTAGTCCAGGGGGTTCCCAAGCTGTGGTCCACAAGCTTCTTTCAGGAAGTTCTCAGATTTGTAGCTGAAGATGGGAGACTTCTCTATCTATCACACTGAGTATTCATATTGATTTCTTAGCTGTATTTTTATTGCTTCTTTTATTTCTTATGCTGTATTTTATTGCAATAAAAATGCAATTAAAAAGGCACGCTGCATCTGGCACAGTGCATTACAATAGCTATAACAGGCAGGAAAATCATTAAGTGGTCCGCCAAGACCACCAGAAATTTTTAAGTGGTCCGTAGGGCACTGGGGGAATGGGAGGTACAATCTTATCCATCTATAGCTGATTGGTTGCACAGTGGTCTGAAGGCAATCAGGGTGGAGGAATTGAGACCACAGTATTTGGGCGGCCTTGAAAACAAACAACGGAATAGCTAGCCTTGAAATGGCTTGAAAAATACTCGTCTGGATCCTATTGTTCTAGGACCAATCAGACTGCTGCATTCTGAATCCAATTGTTTTAGGACCAATCAGACTGCTGCATTCTGAATCCTATTGTTTTAGGACCAATCAGTCTGCTGCAATTTGGATCCTTTTCAACTCATTATATAACATGGCCCTTCCTTCAAGTGGACTTTTCCTCTCCCACATACCACTTCATTTTTTGGTAAAAGGGGCAGACCTAAAGCTCACCTTCTGATGAGGACAGATGCAGGCTGTGAACATTTTCTAGGCACGGGCAACTCAGATTGTCCTTGGTCACTGGGAGAGAGGTTTATAAAGCCCTTCATTAATGAAAATTGAAATTGCCTTGCTTGAGAGAGGCCCACTCATTCTGGCATTCTGTTTCAATGAGCAACAAGTCTTAGAGAAGCTCACAAGAAGGCCATAAAGAAAAGGTTATAATTGTGTGCAGCACCTGGTTGGATCCTTTTAGCAAAACCAAGTCCCATTGTACAGCATTTGTGCAGAAATATCTCTCAAGGCAGCTGCACTTGTGGGACAAGTAAGTGCGGAACAATCCTCAGGAAGGTGGAAGGAGCACCGGGGGCGCAAAACGCACCATGCCTTCCTTTTAGAGGCTCTGGTTTTGTGTTAAAATATAAAGTGGGAATACAGAGAGCTACCTTAATTGAAAACAGCTTCGGCACTTTTCCAGGCTGCCCTCCATCAATTAACAGGAAAATAAAGGGCATTTGAAGATTATCAGAGAGGAGATAAAATGTTGGTGAAATTTTCATGTGTAGGGCATAGGTGTTTTGCTGTACTTCTCTTACCTTGGAGATGGCTGAGAGGTTTTCTGAGTGCCGTTTCTCTTCAACCCACTATTATCCATCTGCTGGTATCCTCCGGGCTGGTTTACTGCCATGCAGTCTATGTGGGGTTGCCCTTGAGGTTGGTCCAGAAGCTATAGCTGGTGTAAACGGTGGAGGCTTGACAGCTCTCTGGGGTAAACACCAAAATGCTACACCACTGTTGAAACAATGGCATTGGCTGCCAATTAGCTGCTGGGCAAAGTTCAAGACCCAGGTTTTACTGTGTAAAGCCCTATATAGCCCAGGGCCAGGATATATCAAGTCTCTCACTGTGCTCTGTGGGAGAGGGCCTCTTGCAGATACCATCTTATCAGGAGGGCCATTCCATACGATGCAGGAATCAACCCTTTAGTGTTGCATCACCCATCCTTCTCCTTGAATATTAGGCAATTGTCTTTTGGTGCCTACTGAAAACTTTCCTCTTCAAACAAGCTTTTTCAGCAGAGATCTCCCCCAGCCTGTATCTGTAATGGAATTGTTTCAAGAGATTTTTATTGTCCTGTCTCTTGTTCTAGGCTGCATTAGGAGAAACGGCTGGATATAAAACTTAATAAATGAATGAAATAAATTCTAAAAATCAGGTCTGCACTCTGCAGCTCTTCTACATCTCTAACCTTCCTGAAAACCCAGTTACCTCGTTGGCTGGGCTTTCCTTCATCTACATTGCAGCATCCGGCATTTTTGTACCCAAAACTTCATGCTCAATTATCCGCATGCGATCTGGGCTCTGAGCTACTTTGCACGTGGAAGTCACCTCAGTGCATGAAAAGCATGGTTTATGAAGCAGCCTTCATCAGGCCTCCAGTCCTGCAAGTGATCATGCACAGCGTGAACTCTTGACAGCTGCACAATCAGCGCTGCCCTACAGCCAGCGTTATTGACTTATCTGCACAGATAGAGATGGTTAAAATATATATGAGCAGGTCGATTACAACTACAGAGTAGCAGGGTTATTCAGCGGCATTGAGGACCAATCTCGGTATACAATTGTGTGCTCCCTGCAGGCGGGAGGCCAATTAATTTGGAGATCAGATCAAATTCAGCAAGTGTTATTGTATGTTACACGGACACACAATCCCCGGAGGCTACTGATAATGATAATAATGAATTAATACAGGGGTAGGCCTCTCCTCCAGGTTCTAATTACAGAGTTCTGCACTGGCTTTTGTTCTCAAAGGACAGACTTTGATTAGAAGTTAAGGTGCCATCGTCAGATTTTTAGCTTTGCAGCATCTGTCGTCTAATCCATTGTTTCTTTGCAAGGTGGCAGTAAACAGGGAGTTTATGATACGTCGATTCCAGTGTGACAGGATGCATCATTAAGAAGGGCTCCTCTTCTAGAGTAGGAGAGCCTTGCATGATAGCTTGTGAATGTAGGAACTTTTTGACATTGGTAAACAGATGCAGTTCAGAACTCGTGTCACTTAATTCGCAAGGGCGCCTTGAGGATGGAAACAAAAAACATTGTATTGACACAACACATTGTTTCAGATTAACTTGCATCCAGAAGGCTTGAATTATGATCTCTCTTGATTAAAGACGGGATTAGACTTGGCTTTAGTAGGATTGGTGCCAGCTGCAAAGAAGGTCTAGTGTAACCAGGTAAAACAGTGAACAGTATTCCGTCTTTAAGAACAACAACAATTCAATTCCAGGCAGAGTTACTGTCAAATTTTGCATGAAGTCAAATTGTGACGGGGGGTTGGGGAAAGGCATAGTTCAGTAGACAAAGCATATATGTTATATACTACAGGTCCCAGGGTCAATTCATGGCATCTCCAATTTCAAAAAAGGATCAGGTGATGGAAAAGATCTTCACTGAAGATCCTGGAGAGCTGTTGCCAGTCAAAAAGATACACAGATGTCCGCACTATCCAAACACTCGTTCTACAAAAATTCACTTATCCAAACATGAGGAATTAGTACTCAAAAGTCACTATACACAACACAGATTCAGCTATCCAAACAACTGGACTTGTATGTAGTACAGTGATACCTTGGTTTACAAACTTAATCCGTTCTGGAAGTCCATTCTTAAACCAAAGCATTCTTAAACCAAGCAGGGGACTCAATTTACAAATGGAACACACTCAACAGGAAGCGAAACATGTTCTGCTTCCAAGGCAAAGTTCACAAACCAAAACACCTGCTTCTGGGTTTGCAGCGTTCCTAATCCAAGTTGTTCATAAACTAAGTTGTTCTTAAACCAAGGTACCACTGTACTGTGAACATATAAGTAGCCTTAAACAAGCCTTCCTTTTTTTGAGTTTTGCTGGTCTGCCACAACTGTTTTTCCAAAAACCATCGTGGGAGGGAGGAGATGGGACAAATAAGAGAGCCTTTTCCTTTCTTTCCTTGTTTGCCATTTGCAAGGTTTCAACGGGTTTCCTGATCAGCTGTAGGTCAAAATTCCCTGGTCAGGAACATGTTAGAAATTTCCCCATAGAAATCAATAGAAATTGTGGACTCATTATGTGAGTGCTCACCTACCAAACGATTTTATGAGATCGAATTGTGTTTGGATAGTGAGACTGGCATATATTACAACTGCAATTGATACACAAAGGATGGTATCCAGCTAACATGTCCATCCAGCTCATAGATTTCTGCTTCTGTAATGGGCTTTCCCCTCTCCTCCCTCAATGCACCCCATATCCTGGGACATCCCAGCAAGATTGGTGGGGTATAAATAATAAAATTCTTATTCAAATGCCTGTTGCCATGAGGCAGGTGCCTTGACTATACTTTTTTTGGTGCCTGCTTAAAATTTTTTAAGCCTATCCAAACATGTAGATGTTGATGTGTTTTAATCTTTTACTATCAATTTTAACCATCTTTAAAACATTTTAAAGATGGTTAAAACTGATAGTAAAAGATTAAATCACTTGGAATTTTTAAAAAACTCCTTTTATTGATGGTTTTAATGTTCCTTGTAAACCGCTTGGAATGTTTATTACACTCAAGGGGTATATAAATTCTGTTAAATAAATAAAATAAATAAAAGCTGTTCTATTTTCTGCACTGAAAGTGCCTCAGTATCTGAGGGAATTTGGGGTTCATCAAGACTGATAACATGATAGAAAAGCAGAGGTCATATGGGGGTGAGGACTGCAATTACTGTAACTGAACTATGGGTGTGTTGTGAAAATAGAGTTAATTCTACTTTGATGCATCCAGCAGTGGTTGTGCGATTTTCGTGGTGCTGATTCTCCTGAGAACAGTGCATGGATTCCCCTGGCCTTGGCTCTGGCAGAGTCTTTTCCTTGGATAACAGTCTCATGGTATATATAGCAGGCACTAGATCTTCTCTACAATGCTGACAGATATTAACAGACACTTCTGAGAGTCAGTCTTGGTGTAGAAGTTCGAGTGTTGCACTAGGACCTGGGCGACTGGCATTCAGATCCCTACTTGTCCAGGGAGCTCACTGAAGAAGAGTTTGGATTTGATATCTCGCTTTATCACTACCCTAAGGAGTCTCAAAGCTGCTAACCATCTCCTTTCCCTTCCTCCCCCACAACAAACACTCTGTGAGGTGAGTGAGGCTGAGAGACTTCAGAGAAGTGTGACTGGCCCAAGGTCACCCAGCAGCTGCATGTGGAGGAGCGGGGAAGCAAACCCGGTTCACCAGATTACGAGTCCACCACTCTTAACCACTACACCACACTGGCTCTTCACACTGAGTGACCTTGGGCCAGTCATTGCCTCTCAGCCTAGCCTACTTCCCAGGGTTGTTGTGGGGATTAAACCAGAAGGGAGGGGGGGCCATGTGCACCAGTTAGAGCTCCTTGGAGGAAAAGGTGAGATATGAATGCAGTAGGGACATGGATGTCACTGTGGTCTAAACCGCTAAGCCTCTTGGACTTGCCGATTGAAAGGTCAGTGGTTCGAATCCCTGCAACGGAGTGAGCTTCCATTGCTGTGTCCTAGATCCCGCCAACCTAGCAGTTCGAAAGCACACCAGAGCAAGTAGATAAATAGGTACCGCTGTGACAGGAAGGTAAACGGCATTTCCGTCCACTCTGGCACTTGTCACAATACTCTGTACACCAGAAGCAGTTTAGTCCTGCTGGCCACAAGACCCGGAAAGCTGTCTGCGGACAAACGCCGACTCCCTCTGCCTGAAAATAAGATAAGCGCCGCAACCCCATACAGTCATACCTTGGGTTACAGATGCTTCAGGTTGCGTTTTTTTGGGTTGTGGACCGCCGAAACCCAGAAGTACCAGAATGGGTTACTTCTGGGTTTTGGTGGTCACGCATGCACAGAAGTGCTAAATCATGCTTTGCGCATGCGCAGAAGCCCCGAATCGCAACCTGCACGTGCGCAGACACGCCGCTGCGGGTTGCAAACGTGCATCCCGCACAGATCACATTCACAACCCGAGCGTCCACTGTAGTTGCCTTTGACTGGACTCAGCTGTCCAGGGGTCCTTTATCTTTTTACCTTTTTGAATGCAGTAAATAAATACATAAATAAATTCCGCATCCTGCCTTTCCCCCATTGATCATGCCCAGGCCATCCTTGGCTCTAGCAAGGTAGATGTGTCACGTGCTCCTAAACCATTTCCTGGGCTAAAATAAATGTCAGAAGATAGCAGGCTACCAGTAGCGCAGTTTGTCCCATTCTCTCAGAGCATTTTTTTTCCCTTTTGGGAAGCCTGTTTGCTTCCCCCACAATATTTGTTTCTAATGTAATGTTTGCTTTGTGTGGAGGGAGGAAAATGAGATTAAACACTGGAAATATAAACTGTTAGCCCAGAGTTAATAGGATGATATTTGTCAACTTCTGTACTGTGGTTATGCATTTCAAAGTCTGTTGAATGTTTACTTGAAAATAAATAGGGTGGGGAGGAGCGGCGTCTCAGGGTGGTTTTGTTCATATTTTGGCTTTGGGTTTCTCTCCCTTAAAAAAACAAACACCTGCCATGATGTTTCCATAAGGCTTTATGAAATATTTCTGCCAGCTTTGGATAACCATCAGCGGTGGATTTGTGTGTAATTTTCCCAATTGAAAAATAATGTGCCGATATGGAGCTCTTGCAAGGGGTGCAAGGGGTGCAATAGCTTTTTGTGTGTGGCAATACCTCATTACATTGCCTTAGGCTATCTGAGCCATTTACACAGTCACTCAAAAACCAGCTACCTGACATTCCGAAGCAACTTAAAATAGTTTTCTCCACTTCCGCTGCATTTAAATTTCATTTCACACACTGTAAGCTAACACCAATATTTTACATTTCACTGGAGCCTTTTGCATCAGTAGTATATTATTTATTCATTCATTTATTTATTTTTTAAACACACATAAACTGTATTCACATTTACTGGCCCTTCTTGACCATTCCAAGGCTCTGACAGACTGCCTTATTATTTTTATAACCTGTGTTGACTCTGCTTCCCATTCATCGTATTTTCTTCTTCTTCTTTCCCCCAGTTTCCAAGGAAGAAAGGCACTTCTACCATTTGTCTAGAACAATGCACGCTCTTAAATGCAGCTTTAAAAATATGGAACTGTATTCAGGATTATTGTTTAGACTACAAGGGTGCTACTAAGGAAGGAGGACGTAGGTGGTCTATAATGACCCAATATTAATTTCTGCGAGGTGTCGGCATTCCCTAAGACTGTATATATGCACTCTTCACTGCAGCTCAGAACTGTGTGGCTGTATCAACAAAACTAATTTTAGTTGCTGGATGATTCACAACTTCTTAAATTATTTGCTACAGTAGCTGTTGTATTATTAATATCTTAAGTTATCGTCAAAGTGGGTCGTAGTTATTATTTATTTATTTCATAAGATTTATGAGCCGCTTGATTTTAAACTACAACAACAGCAACGTTCCGAACAGTTTACAAAAAGGTAAAACAAGAAAATCAAGAAAAAATGTACAGCCATACTTTAAAACATACAGAAGTTAAAATACTAAATCGCCCCAACTTTCTAAGCATCCGGGTAGGCGTCTCTAAAACAAGAATGTTTTTTTCCCCAGGCACCAAAAAGAATACAGTGAAGGCACCTGCTTGATCCAAGAAAATATTTAATAGAAACAATTAAAAAATAATAATAGGCAGTTCCAAAGTGCAGGTGCTGCCACACTAAAAGATCGAGTTACAAATGCGGGGTGAATATTATGTATAATAATTATATTGCCTCATGGCCTTTTGGCTAAGATTATGTCTGTGTCAGGCTTCGGGGAATCAGCTTCCTTCCATGTGGCAGTAAATAAGCAGATTAAACAAAAGGAAATTCTGACCAGTTAGTTTCTTTCTTTAATAAACACAGTGAGAGACAAAAGAAAGCGTCTCCCTAGAATGGCGGTGCTCCCAATTAAGACTCACCCTTGTAATCTGAGTTTGTACCCACTGCGCTTTCTGTTCTAACACTTTCTGAGCTCTCTGTGTCTTTGAGGAAGGGGGGGGTGGATACTATAGAGAGACTGTGAATCTGTTAACCCCCTCTCTTCCGGTGTTTCTTCTCCTAGCTGTTCCCCCATCCAGTATTTCCCAGCTTCTGCCTTCTGAACTATGTCCCTCTTCAAACCACTGTTCCAAATCTATACTGTCCTCCTGCTCCTGGGAAGATTCAGGAGCAGGGGGGAAGGGGAGGCTCCCACCATTCCTCCTCAGTGCAGCCCTCCTCAGCATGGTGTATTATGTGATACCTGTAGTTGTGCCAATTCCGCCAACCAAAGCAGTCACATGTGGCGTAAGGTGATCTCGTAACCACCATTTAGGATAATACAGTGGACCCTCTGGATATGAATATAATTTGTTCCAGGGGTTTGCACGTATCCCGAAAAATCCACAAGTAAATGCGTCGCTTCTGCACACGCGTGTGGCACCATAGAGTGTTTCTGCGCATGCGCGCGTGTCAAAACCTGGAAGAATACACTTCTGGGTTTGCCGCGTTCGCGAAGGTACCCGAAGGTAACATAACCCAAGGGCCCACTGTACTTTGAGGCCATTCTCTCAGCATCCCCATGACACTCCCTCCTCTTATCATCCTCTTATGAGCCAGCTTGCTGGAAGCTGCCTTATACCGAGTCAGGCCATGGCTCCATTCAGCTCAGCATTGTCTAACCTGACTGGCAATGGCTTTTCAGGGTTTCAGGCAGGACTTCCTCTCCCTGCCCTGTCAGGAGATGTTCGGGACTGAAACAAGGAACTTACTGAAAAACAATACCTGCGCAGAGCAGAACAAACCACACTGGAAGGGGAGGGAGGGAGTTGGCTGATGCACCATTACCAGCAAAAGAGCTTTGGGGAGGAATAGTCAGGTTCCCAGAAAATGGTGTGTGTGTGTGTGTAAGATATCAACATTGCAGGGTTTTACAAGATAATGAGATTCACATGGCGCTCTCGAGCGGGAAAGTTTGCGCTTGTCATGGTAGCACAGAGGGAAATTGCTGTAAAGGCAGGTCACTTGAAAAGGGGGTCCCAGTTCCTCTTCCCCAGTCTCTCATTTCTCAAGTAACATGATTGGAGAGGAGCCGAACGATATGGAGCAGCATGCTTCCCCCTCCATCCTGACAAGCCACAAACCACAGTGTCATTTTTTAATGATTCCACTGTTGGAAGTGCGAAGGCGATTCCTCTCCTTCGTCCGCTCTCCACTTTTCCCGTCAACGTCGCATTCCTAGAATCTGCTCTAAATTGTGTGGCAGGGTTTCTCCCTCCCCTTTCCCTTTAATTAAAAGCCAGATCTGTAACTTTTAATCTTCCCCAATAGTGTCTCTTTAGCTGAGATTGACAAAGGCTGGCTGTGCCTCAGTCCCTTCAGCTGCTTTCATCTCCTTTCCTTTTCCTGCTTTAAAATGTTTTTTTATTGGTTTTATTAGAGACGTATAAGAAAATAGAAGAAGGGTACTAAACATGGCCCTAAC